CATCATAAACAGTGCAATTAGAACTCTCGGTAACAAAAGTCTTGAAGAAAGCACTTGGAGCCTTTTTGAGAAAATGGCTTTTGAGTGTTTCTGAAAATGCGGAAATTTCGCAGAAAACTGTTGAGTTTTCGAGAAAATGTATGACATAATTTAAAGAACGTGTCATAAATGCAATAATGTGAATTAATGGCCGCTAATGAATATATTAACGACGTGAGAGACAAGTAAAAAAATAAACAACGTAAAACCACAAGACTCGACGTAGTTATCATATTCATAAGGTAACAGTATTAACAGCTTACTACAAAAAAATCACATATAATACATGTACATTACTTTACAACACCTTGCTATATGACATTAAATGATTAAATTCGATACAAGAGTTTAAGCCCCAAGTAAAATCGTTTCTGCTGCACAACTGTTTCTATACAATTAGAGACTTTACCAAGCATCCAAAAGAAAATTAATATTAATTTAAACAATGACATTTAGTATTATTTACCATATGGATTGTATAATTCTAAAGAACCTGTAACAAGTATTGAATTTCAGCTTCTGGGGCAATGACCCCCATATTTCGATCAGGTTATCATCCAGTTTACCTAATCCTCGAGGAAATGCTGAGATGGACCCTTGTTTTGCTTCTGGACATAAATGTAACTTCAAATTAACTTCTCCACATAGCACGTCTCACACAGTTTTTAACCGTTTTTGACGTAAATAAATAAAAAATAAATTTTGGTAATTTTTGAAAACAAATGAAGAATAGAGCAGAATGTCGTTTTTGGCATTTGGCATCCTACCAAAAGTTTCAAGAAAAAAATGGATCCGTTTTTGGGAAAATATTCTTAAATTGTACATATTGCACGAAAAATACAAAAGTTTCAAAAAAGTCTTAAATATGAAGAAAAAAATTGAATTGAGAGAAAATATTTATCTTCAATTTGTAGCTGTAGAAAGACTAAAAAAAAATTCGCAATCTTCAAAACTTCAAAGTTAACAGTGAAAATCGGACATATGCCACCTTGATAAGTGTAATTTACTGTATTCTTACCAAAATTTTAAAGAACAAAATGGAGTAATGTTTGCGAAAATTTTGAAAATATCTCTGGGGCTTCATGTAAAGTACCGCCAAAATTTAAAGAATGACTTTCCAAATCGCAGGGCTTCAAGTCGAGTCAGATTGACTGAGGAGTATCCATTTTGGAAAAAAAACTACTTATGGTTTAGGAGCTAGTGGTCTTCACACACGGACGGACAGTCGGATTGAGATTTTTTTTCTTCGTTTTTTCAATTTGTTGCGTCTTCAATTGATGCAGCGCGTCTCCAACTCCCTCGGGGGCGTTGAGAGCTTTCATAGTAATCCTCAATTAATATTTCAATGTCATATCCGTCACGTCTCATCGCAGTCAGATGTCAAGAGGTCCGCCATGTAGCATCTTCGCGTAGAATGGCGTGAAGAATCGCGTAGTCCGCCATGTAGCATCTTCGCGCTCCTCCTACTACGTGCTCCTGCACATTTCACATGAGGTTCTTCGGGGATTCTACGGGAATCGAACCAAGGCTCCTTAGTGATCGGCGAGCGACTTTGCTCTGAGCCACCAAATGACAGATCCCGCCATATGAAAAAAAAAACAACGTTTTCGTTATCAAGGACCCACAATTTCTGATATATTAGTACCTTGTTAGAAGGTATAATTTACTGTATATTAGAAGAGGATTTATCTACATATTATGTATCAGGGTCCTACAATAGGAGTTTTTGTGTTCAAAAAACGTTTTTTTGGCCTCAGCATAACTTCCTCTATACTACGTATATTACTTCAAATGAAGTCACTGGTACATTTTCAAAATTTTCTCAAAAATGGCTCAAAATTTTTTCTTTACATTTCTTGTAAGAATAGAATACACTAATTAAGGTGGCATATGCCCGATTTTCACTGTTAACTCTGAATTTTCGATAATTGCAAAAGTTTGAATTTTTTCGACGTCTTCCTACCACTACAAAATTGAAGATAGAGATTTTTCCCTCAATTAAAATCTGTTGACCATAATTAGTCTTTTCATTTAGATCGTGTACATGTTTTAAAACTTTTAGTTGTTTCCGCGCAATATTACGTGCAATTAAAAAAGAACAAGTTGTTCTCGAAAACGACTCCAAATTAATTCTTTAAACTTTTGGTAAGGAGAGTTAAATTTTCTCTATGAGATGATTTTAACGGAATATTGCTCTATTTCATATATGTAATTTTGTGACTGTCCTATCACGTCGTTGTTATTTACATTAGGTGCGATATGTTCACATTATTGCTTGTGCGAGTGCACATGCTTTTCATATTTAATAAAGTTTTTCGAAAACTCAAAACTTTTCTGTGAAAATGAACTCAAAATTGCGCATTTTCAGAAATGTTTAAACTTATTTTTTTTTTTCAAAAATAGCTCAATTTTTTTCATTAAACGTTTCGAACGGATAATGCTAATTGCACCGTTTACTTAAATGCATTTTGCTGTACTCTTTTGTTTTTTCCAATATTACACAAATGCATTTTCTTAATATCTCTCACGCCTTTACAATCCATAATTCCAGAGATTTGTTTACATTATTGTATTTGTGAGTGAAAGTGCTTCAAATGACGTCCAATGAAGTTTTTCGAAAACAAAAAAATTCCGTGAAAGATTCAAATTTCGTATTTTCAGTGACTTCTAAACGGCATTTTCTCAAATTTTTACTGAAAATTTCCATACGATGTTTTACTATCTTTGAAATACTATATTTGAAATTACTATATTTCAGTTCTATCATTAGGAAACCGAAAAAATGAGCAAATAAAAATAAACTGTTATTTGAGCGACGTTAAAATTGAAGCTGGCAAGAGAATGAGCCAAAACCGAAAAGTAGCCCAGACCTCAAAAATTAGAAAACTTACTAGTACGAGTAAATCTGTGACATTCTGTAGCACCACTAGCAGACGTAGCTGATCGTTGGGTTACAAAGCCTATGAGCCATAGTCCTCGAGAATCTATGTCGGACTTTTCAAGTATCACCCGCTGATTATCATAGCGAGATAGTACAAGAATTTCTAAAAGATCATGTGTTCCTCAATCTTCTCAATTTTCAGTAGAGTACGTGTAAAAAGAAGCCTTTATGTCCAGAGTGATCCCCAAGTCAGTGACACGACGAACCTGTCAAGAATCACATCGATCGAATAATCAAAGTGGATGTCAGGTCTCCCTAGTGAATACTTCATTATAGAACATTTAAAAGCGTTCAAAAGCATGACGTTACGATGACACCAATCGTTTAGTTTGTACAGGTTACTCTGTAAAAGACAGGCATCTTCATGATTACACACCTCCCGAAAAATCTTCGCATCATTTGCATAAAGTACAATCTCATAACACTCCGAAGTCTGCGGTAAGTCATTAATAAAGATGTCAAAGAGAAGTGTACCAAAATGAGACCCCTTACGGAACTCCGGATAGTATTTCAAACAATGAAGGCGAACGGCAACGAATCTGTACATACTTCTTCCTTCGACTTAGGTAGCTCTCATGCCACTGAAGCAAAGAACCATCAGAACCAGTCGAAAACAACTTATAAGTAAATCATGCTTCACGCAGTTGAAGGCCTTGGAGAAGCCCGTGTAAATGACGTCGAGTTGTCTGCCTTCTTCTATAGCATCCGTCACGTGCCTTACAACAAGGTTAGTTGAAGTAGATCTTCCCTTAATCAAACCATGTCGCACCGGACCATAGCCCACTCTACACAAGCCCGAGTGATAACACTGAAAATGTAGCACTCGCTCGGGGCGAGTTGTAGATTTTCAGCTCGGAATAGCCGACCGGCTTTCCGGGGCGTAGCATCTGCGTGTTTGTCAGGTATCTTGTATTCTATGGCACTAATTACATGCTATTTGTCTGATTTGCTTAATAAAGAAGATATAAATCAGAAGAATATAATCAGAAATCTGCGAAAAGCTCACCAGAAAATACACTACTGTACCCTTATTCAGGTTAAAGGTTCAAGTTAAACCTTTATTTTTAAGCAAACCAATAACAGGCTTAATACTTACCAGAAAAATGTATTTGCTTTGCCAGGGGTGACCTTAAGGTTATTGACAATTCAAAACACAGGATTGATTTGGTACTTCCATTTATTGAATATTATTTCATTGTTTTCCATGAAACACAGATAACTTCCGTTTCTTTTTATTTACATTCGGCAAATCACCATTCTTATGTTAAACATAATTATTAATTGGTAAATTGATCACAGTATTACAAAGTTTATCATAAATGTTGGACAGAGGATTTTCACGAAAACAATAATCATCGATAAGAAATGACAAGGCATCATTGGAACATACCTTTTCTTTCAACAGTTCCTGAAAAACATTCTTCTGTCATTAAATTCCATGCATATTTACATAATTTTACAACAACTGAGGATGGGCATGTTAAACCACCTCTATTCAAAATATCAAAGTACAAACTATTATAATGATCAGATTTTATCAGAGAAATACAATGCAAACACAGCGTTTGTTCTGCTTTATGTGATACATAGCCACAAACATCAAGAAATCCTGGTTTGTCTAACACATTATCATCCACAAGTTGTGACAAAATACCATGAAAATAACACTTTTTATCATGCGGCAAATCTTCAGTAACCGTATCAAACATTTCAGGTCTAAATTTAATACTATCATACTGCCAACAAACTCTTAACTCTCCTTTTCTTTTCCGATTCTAATGTTTGAGTAACTCATGCATGGTAATTTGCACCAGATAACTGTCTATACAAAGAAAATCTTCTTTGTAAGCTATCAGTTTGAAACTTGGCTTTTAACTAATAATCTATTTCAGAATTTTCTGAATATAATTCAATAAGTTCTATAATGCAATAAAATTTCTATTCAATAAATTTTATAATTTTATTGATTATAGAATCTTATATACATAGATGATTGAATTTTGTTAAGTGTTTATTATTTCTCGTAAAGTAAATAATGCATTTTTTATTTAATTGTAATAAAATTGTCACATTGTTTTATTGTATTAAATTCTCTATATAAGTTGTTACCATGATAGGATATACTAATTTGTTTACAGAACCCTTAAATACTTAGAAAATCAAAAATATAAAAGGACCGGTACATTCAAAAATACCGGACAGTATATTGAATGAACCTAATTTGTCGGGCATGTCTGACGTAATACTTCCAGCACGGTGTTGTCTTCATCGCCACCCGTTTGAGCGCAGCACTAGGCAGAATGAGCAGCTCCGAATGTTCTGTTTGACTGAGAAAGTTAAGATACCTGCGAGACAGGCGGAGAACGGAGCAGGACCGGAGACAGGCGGTCAGGCGTTAGCGGGTGTTTTACCGGGTTATGATCTGTGGGTTCTCTATGCCGTCTATGTTATACGAATTTACTGTCTTTAGGACATTGTCCTAGACAGATATAATTTATGGATATTTCCTGAAGGGTTGTCAACATTTATTTTATCAGAATGGATGGTACTAGTGATGAGAGTAATTCAAGAACACCTAAAAAGGCGAATGAAGCAGTAGAAGAACCAGAAAATTTTTCTAATCTAGCAGGTATATTTTAAAAATAGTACATCAACTTTGTATCAGAGTGGCCTCAAAATGCTTTAGAATTTTGCAATTTCCAGATTTAAAGGATGTATTGATTTACCAATACATGTTCTTTTACATATTAAACCAAATATAAAAAATACAGTGCCCTCCAGAGAGCCAATTTCCACAATTAACGATATTTTGATCAGTTTCTTTTTATATCTAAAACACACCGTACAAAAAATATAGTGCCCTCCAACGGGTCAAGTTAATGGAAAGGATAACCAAGATTAAGGTAACTTTGGGGCAGTGATCTTAAGTTATTTTGATTTTGAAAATTCCAAACCAATAATCAAATGAAAACATAAGAGATAATCAGTCACTCTTATTTGTTAATAACAAATAGATGTCATTTATAACTTACAAACGATACAGTTTTAAGAATGTTGAAAAGAATATTATGAACACTAACATTTTGATTTTAATAATATTTTGCACTTGATAAAAATGATAGGACTTGCTATTGAGAATGCTACAGAATGCCATAAGAGCTTCTATTTATCTATACATTATTTGTTTTCATAATATTGAAAAATCAATTCTGTAATATTTGTAAAGTCTTAATTATCATTTAATGTTTTTTTGAAAATAACAAATTCTTTTGACATTAACAGTGAACTTATTTCATTACCAACTAGTGGTGCCACATACTTCCTCACCTTATTTCTAGCACATCATACAGGCAAGCAAGGATAATTTTCCCATAAATTGAATATCCAGAACTAAAGTACATCCAACATATCACATTATGAATGCATTTGAAATGACAAAATCAATACCTTATGCATATCTATATACACGTTATTTCTGGACTTAATTGTGTTGAATATACTATTTTGTGAAACTTTGAGAAAGTTGTATCACTAATGTTTAGTACATAAAACCGCCTTATCTTATCATGCTGTTCAACAATGAACTTGGCAAATATCTATCATTCCAGTGTTACCCAATGCAGTGATGTTAATAAAAGTTCATACAAAATCATTGATTTCAAATTTTCATTCATATTACATTTAAATTGTACTTTTAAAAGAGAGAGCCTAATTGGGGCAATTTCAATTAATGTTTGCAAATTTCATGAAAGAAAATACAAGAATACTTTGAGAATGCATATTGTAGAATGGGGGAATTGGGGAATTTCAAGAGTAAATTATAATTAGAATTAAATTAATTATTTTTTATAACCTTTTGATCCAATCCTGTTCTCTGAGGATTTTTCGTATCGCCTGTAGTTGGTGGAGCCTGTTCATATTTCATTAATTTCAAGCTGAAATTCCACAAAAAACTACTAGCTTTTTCAAAAAATGTACATGGTCTTATGTAGTGAGCTGGCTTTTTAAAACAGATTTTGTTTGAGAGAAAATCTCTCTTCCATTTTAGTTTCCAAATGTTAAGATTTTGCAATTTTCGAAAATTGGAGAGATCAACGGAAAATGAAACATGTACCATTCTTTTAAGTATCTCTTCTTCTCTAGGTAAAAAAATGTAAAGAAAAAATGTTGAGCAGTTTCTGAGGAAATAATTTTTTAGAAATTGCATATATTTCAAATGCTGAATATGTAAAAACTATCTGTGTTTTCAAAATATTGTTCATATTCTTTTTTTTTATAATTAAATAAAAATATCAAGATTTTACATAATTTTATACAAGTCAAAACTAATAGAATCTCTAATGGACCTTGTTAATGGACCTGTTACATGGCTTGTAATCATTTTACATGAAATCAGTTGTGTAGTGAATAAAACATTAGAAATGAGGTTTATGGTTGCATTAAATTAAAATTCAATGCTAATTTTAATTTTATTGTTTCAGATGCTTTAGGAGGCTTAAAAAAGTCAAAATTTTATGAAAAAGTTACTTTTCCTGATTCATCAAAACCAGGATCATCAAAACTTTTAAGAAGTGGTTCTGCCAAGTTCAATCCAGTACTTGTGAGCCCAAAGCAGGTATTAAAAATTCATTTAATACTAAATGGCACTTTTTTATCAACTCACAAATAGTTTTTACATGTCTTTTAAATATCTATTTCAGAGAGGAAATCCCTTGTTGAAACACATTAGCAATGTACCTTGGGAGTTTGAAGAAATTAGTCCAGATTATGTAATGGGAAGGACAACTTGTGCTCTTTTCTTGAGTCTGCGGTATCATAACCTGAACCCAGATTACATTCATGAACGACTTAAACTTCTGGGACAAGAATATGAATTAAGAGTGTTATTGATTCAAGTACTTACTTTATAATGTATATTTAGTTATTATTTTGGTTGTTTTTCAATGTTTGGATATATACTCCACACATTTGCTATTCTTGATGTGCTTTTAGGTTGATACAAGTGATCCGCATCATCCGTTGAAGTATTTAACAAGAGTTAGCCTACTAGCTAATCTTACGTTAATGCTGGCCTGGAGTCCTCAGGAAGCTGGGCAGATTATAGAAACCTATAAAATCTATGAGCATAAGCCTCCGGATATGATAATGGAAAAGACAGAAGCTAGCTCTTACCAAAAGGTGCATTAATTAATAATTTTATTTTACTTTATAATACTTATAACGATGCCGGTCAAGATGGCTGAGATTGTTAGGGCAGTAGTGCTGTAACGGTCTCGACCAGAAGACCATGGGTTCAAGACCCACCTCGGGCATGGATGCATTTGTGTACGTCTTATTTCTTGTACTGTCCTTTCATCCCTCATCATAATCATCATCATCTCTTCGGCCTACCCCCCAGAGCTAACAACCTTGGGGGACAAAAATCAGGATTCCGCTAAATTGCAGAACCCTCCACCCCCCAGATAATGGTACCTGCACCTGTTGTATCAAGATGCACGTGTGGTCCAAGTTTACCTATATGCGAAAAGAAAAAAACTTTTAATGATATTGTACTTAATTCAAAATGTGACTGTCTATTCTTCACCTATGATACTTTTATTAAATTGTTTTTTGTGTGATGTCCCTCCTACATGAATGCTGTTGAGAAGCGTAATTCACTTAAGAGAGGCTTCACGTTGAAGAAGCTGAGCACCTGGAAGGGGTTAGAATGGAAGAAGTAATTACAACCACGTGGTATTGTGATTTTAAATGTGTAATCTCACCACGTAATACTTTACAGAAAAGGTAAGGAGATGAGAGAAAGACATGGAGAAGGAGGGGAGAGATATGTTGAAATGCATCTGTGATGGCGTCAACTGTTTATCATGGCCTCCAATTGTCTGGCCAGCATGGTGTCAGCTTCATGTCCATTCATAGTGGCTGTGGTGGTGATTGGAAATGTTATGTGGTGGCAGTTAAAGCTGAGACTGTCCCGTTCTTCAACTTAGCTTCTTGGGCCTCTGGAAAGGCTCTCGCCTGAACTACCCACTCAGCAGCTTTGGCAGCCATTTATATACGCTCATGGTAATGGTCGAAATCTTTCTGGAAGCTTCCTGGGCATTATTAACATACTTTCCCTTCTGTTATGAGATGAGTTTTCTTGTTTGTTAAGACTCAAAGCCACATGGCGATGAAATATTTTATGATAAGTCATTGAATATTGCCATTTTAATGATGGCTCATCACAACGGATAATTGAATTAACCAGCAGTTGTATCAAGCGATGGACAAAGTAGTTTACAAACATGAGATTGATGCTTCCTTATAGCATTTAGAGTTTAAAGACATGTGAGTCATTGAATTACTTATACTTTATTTACAACTAAACTTATATATTAGTAAACACTGCTTCAAAAATTAATATTTAATTTCTTTATGTATTTTTTTAGTTTCTTTTAACAAAATTAATTCTAATTGCCTATAAAATTGATTATTAAGCTGCCGAGCTTTGCCTTTATCCATGTTCCTTTAACAATATTTTAACTACTACGTATCCATTTTACGATGTTATTTGCAAAATCTATGGTGCCTATAAATGCCTATTTTTTATCTGCGCTAAATAATATTCTTGTATAAATACCAAAAGACATTGGTTGTCACTTAATTAAATTTGAATTACCCTAACCAGTTTTAACCAGCAAAGTGTAAACCAGTTGAATAAGTATCAATAATCCTGTGTATGCAGAATGTAAGGAAATTGTTTCATGTGGCAACAGTACGATCCCGGCATTGTGTGTACAGATTGCTATCAAAGGGCAGACCTGCCACGTCCCAAAAGCCATGTGACATCAGTGGGGGGTAGTAGCACTGTTTGTATAAGTTAATCATGTTCAGGAGCAACATTTAGTGAGTTAAGATTTCTGTGAATCGTATGTGAGTATGGGCATATTTAATATCACTTTTATATTTATATAAGATTGAAGGAGTTTTGCCAACTTTAAGAATATTCTTTCAGACCTTGGACTGCAAATATCAGATAGTTTACTTTGAGAATTTGCAGCAATATTCATTGTTTTGTTGTCATACTCATACATAAATCATAGTATTCTTTGTTCCCTGATGTGCCACCTCTAATTGTACCATAAACTGGGGTAAAATTGAACCATTATTTGCATTTTTCAAGTATATAGCTTATAACAATGGGTACAAATGCTTTCAGATATCTTATATAGAATGTTTAACTTTTCATTTATCTGTTCCCAAATTTATGTCTCTCATAAAGTAGGTTCACTACAATTTTGCTAATTAAGTATGATTGGAATTACCCCACATGTTGAGTAAAACAGAGCATCTATTTAATTTCTGTACTTTAGCTTTTTATGCTGTTCAATGCTTAAAACTGATTAGAATTTTAGTTTTTGTATATAATTTTCATTCATACAGTAAAGTTGGCTAAGCTTTAAATTCATCATTCAACACTAATATCTTGTAAACATCTAAAAATATGTCTTTCTTCCCTGATACGTCCCTTTACTTTCATAACATCTTTCTTTCTAACTTTGAGTATTTGAAATTTATGGAAATGAAAAATAGTGATCTTTTGAATTAAAATTCTTTCTCATGAAATTAAAAATGTTTTTGTAATTATATAAACATTTTTCAACTCGACCAACAAATTTTTTGGCTGGTTTGCTGTAAATCTATCAAATACAATTGATCCAAAATCACCTATTTTAATGTCATCCTCATGATTCTAGCAAAGTTCTTTATTTAATAACAAACAACCTCCATTTTCAGATTCTTCTTAACTTGATGAATTCTGACCCAGATCCTCTTTACCGATTCTGAACTGAGTCAGTTGGCCTTGAATTGTTATTCAATTTAAACAGAACAATTTAAGTATTCTTGAACAACAAGACTTCTCAATGGAAAACCCCATTTTGTACACTGAATTAATCTCTCAGTACGTTGCATTTCTTCATTAGACATTAATGCAGGCTACCTAATTTGAATTTATATTTATTTTCAGCATTGTATAGTACGTCAGACCTCTCAAATGCCTTGTGTATACTACAAAAATTTGCCTACACATCATGAACTAATGTCTTATTTAAGTATTCCAAGATATATTTTTTTTCCTGCTGGGACAAAGTTTCTTTTTATAAACTCTCGCCCTGATAGGATTTACGTTACAAAGTAACACATTCAGTCGTTTGTTTGTGAGTCAAACTGAAATTGAAATATGAAAACTATAGCGCTAAATGACTGTATACATACTATACGTACAGCACTTATTTATGCGAAAATTAATTTCACTTTTATCAAACAATTGGTGTTACCGTAGTTTGTTTCACCCTTTGTGTAACACACATGAAATTTTCCCAGAACTAGGTGACTATGTGTGTGAAAGTAAATTGCAAATGCGCTTTAACCAAGAGACCAATTGAAGAATGGAATACTTCTGAGATATGACAGAAAGTGTTTTCCAGATTTTATCCGTTGAGCGGTGTTGATTGAAAAATTAATTCAGGCGTGAATGAATGGATTTACATGATTGGTTTTACCCCAGTATTCAGTATTTTGAGTTGAGAATAATAAATTGTTTGTGTCTATTTAAATACCTGCATTCGAATATAATGTTCCTCATTTTGAATTTTAAGTGCCCATTTTTACTATTTTCAATTCTTACTAAAAATTTGCAGCTTTTAAATTATATTGAAATGATAACCTGAAATATAAAGACAGTAAATTTTCATTGCAGGAATAGTTGTATTTATTTACCCATAAAATATTATAAAGTCATGTTTGTTATTCTTCTCAGTGTTTTGTGAAACATTTTTTCTATTCCTATTGTGTAATTCTCTTATTAGATGGCTACAGCTCATTGTTTAATAATAGTCATTAAAATACAGCTTCATTGTAGTACTAGTGTTTGACGAATCACAGAAAAATTTACAATTGAGAAAAGTAAGCAATCCTTGGTCATTATTCTATTGTTTCGTTATTATTGTGTAGAGACATGCGAAGGTGATGAGTAGGAAGAAAAAGTAAGAAGAAAATCAGAAAACTGAACTGGGGACTGTATATCAGTTATTAAGCTGATAAGAATACTGAATTTTGATAACATTGGATAGCCTTATACCTTAAACATCGATCTCAAAGAGTAGAAATACTGTACTGGCATGAAAGGACATTATTTACTTATCTTTCCAATTTTTTTTCCAATTGAATATGGGGTTCCATAAGGGTCGATCTTAGGTCCTATCCTCTTTCTGTTATATGTAAACAAAATGCTGTCATCTATTAAAAATGGAAGAACGGTTCTGTTTGCCGATGACACAAATGTTCTTTGCAAAAAAGAAACCATAAATATTATGATTTTAGAAGTTTCAAATTGGTTTGGTGATAACAGATTAATAGTTAAAGAAGGAAAAACAATTTCAATGCATTTTTGCATTTCAAATCAGCAATCGCATACTGCATTGAAAATGAACAATATGCAATTACCTGATGTTAAGGTAACAAAATTTCTAAGTCTCAATTCAGTCAAACCTTAAATGGAATGTGCATATAACAGAATTGAACACTAAATTAAGTTCATTATGTTACACATTCAGAATTCTTTCAAATTCTGTCAGCCTTCATGCAGCTCATTGCATGTATTTTGCAAACGCACATTCCCACCTGAGATACGGCATAAAATTCTGGGGAAACTCGTCATGTAGTACTCAGACCTTTAGATTGCAAAAGAAAATTATTCAAATAATGAAAATGTGTCATCCGCGTGATTCCTGCAAGTCTCCCTTCATTGAGCTTGGAATCTTATCACTGCCTTGCCTATATATATATTTACGAATCTGTAATAATTGTTGAAAGTGACTTACTTAACGGTGAGGAGATATTTTCATGCAATACTGATATTTATAATTACAACACATGTGAAAATCCTGTTCATCAAATGTTGTTATCACCAGCTATATATCTATATCTATAATAATAAAATCATACTTGCAATTTGTTTACCAATGCAAATAAGTTTTCTATAACTCAGAAACGAAATTGTCTACTTTTCAAATATTGTTAATATCGCGATTTTTTAAAATTTATTTTTATTGATTTGTTTTAAATTTTTACTCAGATTTCATCTATTTATAATTAAAATGACAGGAAGTGATTCTGGAACTCAAGGAAACGTGCGCAGATAATCTTCTCCCCCATGTGTCACGTACAGTTTTTACTGTTTATTTGACTAAATAAATCTAAATATAATTTCTTTAATAAATTGAATTCTAACTCTACTCGTAAAGTTGGATTGTATTTATGCTTAGCCAATGCCATCTCATCATCTTTTAATAGATGACCTAGGTGAATGTCCACTAGGTGGTATTGGGTGAACACTACATGCCAGCTGCCATGTAACCTTTCAAGTTTAATGTACAATAGTTATCATTAGTTGTTGAAAAAGTTCTGTATGAAACTGTATGCTGTGGTTTGGATGAAGGAATGGAAGGATTTGAAATACGTGCTTGTACTACAATATTCAGGGCTCAGACATCTAAAAAACTGGGAAATCTTTATTTTATATTTGCATCAAAATAAAAAAAATGTGTGTTAAAGAACAAAAAGAATTGTTTATTATCCATTTGATTATCAGTGCCCAAGATTGAGAGAAGTCTCGAAATAAAATGTGACCTCATCCTCTTGATCGCTCTGCTCATTTCACCTGTGCCATTTGAGGAAGTTTGGTAGCTTACTCATGTTATAAGTGTATGCTATCGCTTCGAGTGGTATTGCATGGGTAGTGATGGTTGTCAAACATTTCGACAGGTTGTGAACCCAACTCACTTCACTCAATTGGGGAAGATCCACAGTAATATGTGATCTTTGGCCAAGCACTGCCATGTTTTTCATTATCAATAAATTGAACAATATTAAACTTGACAATACTCAAATATTCTTTTATTGACATAAGATTTAGCAAAATACGTAATAATATTTGTTTCAACCAAAATATTTATTTTTATGCAATGTAAACAAAATATTTATTTTAGGTGATATGCAATTTGATATATGGAAACTATGGGGGGCTACTTGAATTTCCACTAAACTTTCAATGCTCAAGATTAAGGGGGAGGGGGGAAATATGTATTTACCTTTAAGTCCGAGCCTTACTAGTATCACTTCACATTTGTGTATGACTACTCGGCATTAAATCACTATATCATACTATTACATAAATATGTACCTTCTTTTAAAATATCCATACAGGAGTAAAATATGGATAAAATTTTAATAACAATGGTTGAAGTTGGAAATAAAAAATTATTTATGTAATCAAGGTTTAAATAATTTAACGAAAGCTCTTGAATCATTACTTGGGAAATGCAAAAAACGTTTGGTACAAGGTTAAAAGGAAAAAAGGGGACTTGCCGAACTATAAATTAATATTATATAGATCAGTTACAGTCTGCCTAGAAAGTCTCTTTGCAGTGAGGTGAACCTCTTACTAAAAATTGCATTTATGTTGGTAGCAACCAGATCACTTGGAAACACGTGGAGGGGACAGTATGTCCAGCATCTATTATGATAATGGTTAGTGCTCAATTTACAATTTCTTTTGTTACAAACCACAGCTCATGTTACCAACATAATTTCTGTTGCACACACTCGCACCAGCAAGATGCCACTTCAGAGAGACTTTTGTGGCACTTTGTATTATATTTTGTTGTAAAATGTGTGATAAAATTATGAAAGTTACACTATTATGACTCAAATTTACAGGAAAGAGCCTGTTGAACTGTCCATGGGTAAAGGAAGATGCAAGAGAGACCAGTTTATTTCGAATCAATTCATTTGAATAGACAGGGGAATGTATGCATTTCCTAAGGAATGATTTCATTCATTTTCCCCATTGATCGGTATTTTAAAATTTGGTACCTGATGACAGGGTGACTAGTTTCTGAAAAATAACAATTACAAAAAAACAACTCAATAACGCAAGGAAAATTGAAATGCTGAAACAATACAGGGGGAAATCCAGGGAAACAAGGGGTCAAATAAAATAATAATTAAAAAAGTGCATGCTGAACCCTTGCAGAAGGAAATGATTACTATGTGTGATGTTGTGAATAATAAAATGTTGTTTAAGGCCTTGTTGTCAAAACAGCAGGAATAATTACCACTTCTGAGGAGGAAATAATGAAAAAGTTAGGGTTCAACAAAATTTATCTCCAAGTGGTTTGTATGGTTTGAATTCTTGCACGTTATTGGTTGAAATTTCATGAAGAATTGGTGTGACGAGAAGTAATAAAAGACATCTTTACCAATCATTATAATGCAAAACAGTTGGTAAATTTTTTTTTTCATTACCACATTCATTCTCTAATTTGAACAATACTTTACTAATTAAGGCTAAAATTTATACAATGCAGAAATGCCAACTATTATGGATTATCAGTATTGATTACAAAACTCGCACAAACACTCAGATTTAGCATAGCTTACGAAGTGCCAAGTTAATGTGAAAACCTTTGAAAGAAACCGAAATACAGTTTCAAATGCCCTTAAGGAAAATACTAGATTTTATACTGTGCATTTCAATGAAAATAGTTGTTTGAACAGACTTTCTCTACATTTTGTCATTGATGGAATACTA